AAAAAAAAAAAAAAAGAAGAATATCCAGAAAATAGCAAAGTTGCAATTTCTGCTTGATAACATTGCTGTTTTGCTTTACTATTATGAGTCCCTCTCCTTATTCATTTGTGTGTACATGTTACGTTACTGATTTGATCAGATGCACATAGTACCCATCCATTTTCTTCACCAATTTGAAAACATTTTTCCAGTTTTATCAATGTTTGAAAAAATACAGCTTTTGATATTAGCTATATTAGGATAAAGTACTTTGAAAATGAAGACTAGGTAAAAATGGAGCTTAAATTTTTGAGGATCACAAAATATTTTAACTTTAGTCCTTGAAAACTGTAAAGTATGTATCTTTAAAATGAAATGCAAGCATTTCCCTTAGTGGGATATGGTAGACTGTTGTTTTGTACTTTAGAACCAAATGTATCATTTAGCCATTGACAAGCAATTGTATGTACTACTCAACTATTTCTGATTTCATATTCTTTTTTTAATTAAATTTATTGGTACATTTTAGGTATATGTCATGATCACATTCATCATAGGGAATTTGTACCTGTACATGATATATCTTGATTCTTTTTTCCCATTCCCTCCCCTTCCTTCAACCCTCTTCCCCTCCTTATTTACAAAAGCTTTGTTTCCACTTTTTCGTTTTCTCATATTTTTTTCCTTTCCCTTCCTTCCTTTCCCCACCTCCCTCCCTCTAGTTCTGCTATCCATCTGGACATTTTCTTCCTACTTCACAATATCTGTTGGTCCTCATTTACACTTTCAGTTTCTCACACCAGAGAAGCAATGTATTTACATGTGTGTCTGATTTATTTCACTTAAGCGTATCCTCTCAAGGTACATCCATTCAGCTGTAAATGTCTCATTTATCTTCCTTTATGGCTGAATAGTACTCCATTGTGTAAAAAAAAACTTTATCCGATCATTGCTTGATGGGTATTTGGGCAGTTTCCAAGATTTAACTGATACAAACTGTGCTGCTATAGACATGAATGTGCATATATTGCTGTGGTATTGCTGTGGTATGATACTTTTAATTCTTTCTGGATGATACCAAGGAGGGGAACTGCTGGATCCAATGAAACCTCTAGTTTTAGTTTTTTGTGGAATCTCCACACTGACCTCTACTGTTGGTGTGAGTATAGACCGGTCTAATTTCCTATTCTTTCTGAATAAAGTACCAAAACTCCTTAGCCTGCCCTTTGGTAGCCTCCATGACGTTAATCTTAACCTAATTTTACAACAATGTCACTTTATTTCTTTTCTTTTCACCCTCAGTCACAAACCATCTTTGAAATCAATTTCATTCTTCTGTACATAGATACCAATTTTCCAGCACCATTTTTGTCAAAAAAAGCTTTTTTTAAGTTTTATTAGTATATGTTTGCAGTACATAATGAGTGCCCAGCATACCATTTATTGAAGAGATGATCCTTTCCTCATATCTTTTTGGTGGCTCTGTCGAAGATAATTGACATGTATCCATAAGTTTATTTCTGAGTTCTGTTTCATTAGTTTACACGTCTACTTATATGAGAATATAATGTTTTGGCTATTATCATTTTGTAATTTTCTGATACTATTTGAAATCAAGAAGTGTGATATATCCAGCTTTGTTACTCTTTTTCAGGATTGCTTTGACTACTTAGGGTCTTTAGTACTGTATGAGTTTTAGGATTTTTTTTTTCTACATCCATGATAAATGCCTTTGGAATTTTGATAGCGATTGCAGTTGATCTATAAGTTGCTTTGAGTAGGATGGACATTTAACAAAATTCTTCAAGTCTGTAACATTTATCTTTCCATTTATTTGTGCTTCAATTTCAGTATATATCTCTTTACCTCCATTCTTAATTTTATTAAGTATTTTGGCTTTTCTGCTATTGTAAATTGGGGTTTTTTAAGTTCATTGCATGTGCGCAGAAATGCAACTTAACGGAATTCATATTCTAACACTGATGGGTGGATTCTAGGTTCTTCAGTATATTAAATCATGTCATTTTCAAACAGACTGTTATCTATTCTTGATTTGGATGTGTTTATTTTTCTTGTCTAATTGCTCTGGCTAGGACTTCTACCATTGTGTTGAATAGAAGTAATGAAAGTGTGTACCCTTAAGGTGCATACCACTATTGTAATTCTAGAGGATTCTGAATTTGACTAGTAATGCTTATCAGTGAATTTTATGCATTAATATATTTTTATGCTATTAGTGTCCTTTTATCTCAGCTTGGAAAACTCCCTATACCATTTCTTATAAGCTAGGACTACAGCTTTTGTTACCAAAAAAGGATTTCTGGGACTGCTTTGGAATGTGCCAACAATGATGAGGTAAGTGCATTTGAAGTAAAGCATAATATTTTGAGGGGTCTGATGGCAGTGTGTCTTGTATTATAAA